AGATTTTTATTGTAAATACACATTGCATTTTATCCAGTGCTTTCTTTTCACCTATTGAGATGGTTACATGTGTTGGAATTACATTGATTTAAAAATGTTGAGCCAGCCTTCCATTTCTGGGATAAGTAGTACCACTTAATTGATGTAGTTTATCTTTTTTTTTAATCCTCACCTAAGAACGTATTTACTGATTTTGGAGAGCGTTCAGGATGGTGGTGGTGGTGGGGGAGGGGCGGGGGGAGAGAAACATTGATGTGAGAAAGCAGCGTTGATCAGTTACTTCCCATACTTGTCCTGGCCAGGGATTGAATCCACAACCCAAGTACATGCCCTGAGCAGGAATGGGACCCGCAACTTTTCAGTATGATGCTCCAACCCACTGAACCACACTATCCTTTTTATATATTGCCGAATTTGCTGTGATTTCATTGATAACTAGAGGCCCAGTGCACAAAATTCATGCATGGGGGAGTGTCCCTCAGCCCCGCCTGCACCAATCTGGGACATCCCTCTCACAATCTAGGACTCCTGGCTCCCAACTGCTTGCTTGATTGCCCCTAACAGCTTTTGCCTGCCAGCCTGATCACCCCCTAACCACTCCCCTGCCTGCCTGATTGCCCCTAACTGCCCTCTCCTGCAGGTCTGGTCCCCCTCAACTGCTCTCCCCTGCAGGCCTGGGTCCCTCCCAACTGCCCTTCCCTACCTGCCATCTTGTGGTGGCCATCTTGTGTCCACATGGGGGCAGTATCTTTGACCACATAGGGGCAGCCATCTTGTGTGTTGGAGTGATGTTCAGTTTGCATATTACTCTTACTAGATAGGATTTTTTTATATCTGTGTTCATGAGAGATTTTGGTTTATAGTTTTCTTTTGTGATAGCACCTTTTGGTATCAAGCTAATGCTGTCCTCACAGAACAAGTTGGGGTGTGTCCCCTCCTCTTCTGCTCTCTGGAAGGGATTGGGAACAGTCAGTGTCATTTCTTCCTTAGACGTTCGGTAGAATTCACCAGTGATGCTATTTGGGCCTGACGTTTTCTTTGTTGGAGGTTTTTAACTAAAAATCCAATCTTTTAATAGTTATAGGCTTACTCAGGTTATATATTTCTTTTTGAGTGAAGTTGGGTAGATTATGTCTTTGAAGGAATCTGTCCATTTCACCTAAGTTGTCAAATCAATAGGCAAAAAGTTGTTCATAATATTTTCTTGCTATTTTTCTCATGTCTGTAGAGTCAAAGTAATGTCACCTCATTCCTGAAATCAATCCTTTGTGCTTCGTGTCCTTTTTCTTAGTCTGCCTAGAGGTTTATCAATTTATCGATCTTCTCAAAAGAACCAGCTTTTGGTTTTATTGACTTTTCTCTGTTGGTTTCGTTTCCAGTTTCATTAATTTTGTTCCTTATTATTTTCAGCCTCTGCTTGCTTTGGGTTTAACGTGTTCTTTTTTCTACTTTCTTAAGGTGGAAGCTTAAGTTATTGACTTGAAACCTTTTTCTAATACAAACCTTTAATGCTATAAATTCCCTCTGAGCACTGCTTTAGCTGCATCTCACACATTTTGACAGGCTGTATTTTTTATTTTCATTCAGTTCAAATTATTTGCTATTTTTTTCTTTGAGCCATGTACGACTTGCATTAATTTCTATATATTTGAGGATATCCCCAGCTATCCCTCCGCTTTTGATTTCTAGCTTAATTCCTTTATGTCAGAGAACATGTTTCATTTGATTTTAATTCTAAGTTTGTCTAGATTTGTGTTGTGGCTTAGAATGTGGTCTGTCTTTGAGAGCATTTCATGTGTTTGGGGAATGAATCTGTATTCCATTGTTTGATGAAGTGTTCTATAATTATCAGTTAGAAAATTGGCAAAGAATTTCTGAACAACCAACTCGACTCATCTACCTTTTCCTATTGATTTCTGAAAAATGGATTGAAGCCTAAAGGTAGAATGGTGGCATTTACTATTTTTGCAGAAAGGTAAAGAAGTATTTTTGAATATCTGTTTTTTTGGATATCTGTTGTTAGAAGCATATGTATTTAGGATTGTTCTGTCCTTAGGGTAATTCACCCTTTTATTATTCAATGTCCGCCTTTGCTCCTGGTAACTGTCCTTGTTCTGGAATCTACTTTGTCTCATTTAAGGTAGCTGCGCCAGCTCCCATTGGATCCATTTTTGCATGGGGTACCTTTCCCCCTCCTTTTACTTTCAACTGCTCTTTGCTGTTTTATTTAAAGCCTAGAGTTAGGTCTTTCTGTTGTTATTCCAGTCCAACAATCTCAGTCTTCCAGTTGATGTGCGTTGGGTCATTTTATTTTAATGTGATTGTTGATATTATTGGATATAGGTCTACTACCGTTGTCTTCCCATTTCTTCTGTTGTTCTGTGTTCCATCTTTCCTGCCACGGGTTAGATCATTTGAAGATTGTTTAGTATTCCATTGTAGTTCATCTATTGGATAAATATTGTTCTTTCTGGTAATTTTTTTTGGATCCAGGATCAGAAGAGGTACATTGTGTTGGTGGCCAGGCCTTTCACTTCTGAGCCTTCCTCACCTTGTTTGTTTTGTGACTACTGATGTCCTCGGGAGTAGGGGCCAGTCTGGAGTCTGGGAGAGGCTACATGGGACTTCTGTGTTGCCAAATCTCACGGATAATCTTTTGTCTTCCATCTTAATTTTATAGCACAACCAATTTCTCTCTTCTATTTTTAAAAACATTTTTGAACGTGTCTATGTTTCTTTTTCTTTTTAAAATAAACCTTTCTTCCTTTTTCTTTTTTTTTTTTGTTGTTAATCCTCATGTAAGGATATTTTTTGCATTGATTTTTTGATTTAGAGAAAATAGGGGGGTGGGAGACGAGAGAGAGAGAGTCAAAGAGAGAACACACACAGAGAGAAACATTAAGTCTGGCTCCTCTCAGATTAATGCATTGAGATTTACTCACATTATTGGTTCTTAAAAAAAATAAAATATATATAATTGATTTTTTTTACAGGGAGGAAGGGAGAGAGAGAGAGAGTTAGAAACATCGATGAGAGAGAAGCATCCATCAGCAGCCTCCTGCACACCTCCTACTGGGGATGTGCCCACAACCAAGGTACATGCCCTTGACCGAATCAAACCTGGGACCCTTCAGTCCGCAGCTGACGCTCTATCCACTGAGCCACACCGGTTAGGGCACGTTATTGATTCTTGAGTCTTCTTTATTGTCGAGTGTTGTGCCATTGAATGGAGATTTGCTCATCTGCTCCCGAGTTGAAGCATTTTAGGTTGTTTCTAGTTTTCGGTGACCATGACTAAAGCTACTCTAAACATGAACATGAAGACTTTTGTGTGGATGTACGTTTTCATCCAAACTGTTTCCCAGTGGCTGTGCCCCTTCCCAAGCCCCAGGTGTGAGGGTTCCAGTCCCACTACCTCCTCGCCAGCACTTGGCACAGTCGATCTTGAACTCCAGCCTTTCTCATAGGTGCACGTTAATATCTCGTTGTGGTTTTCATGTTCATTTTCCTAACAGCTGAGGATGGTGAGCATCTGTCATGTGTTTGTCATCACGTGTCTTCTCTTTTGAAGTGTGTAAACCTCTTGCCCATTTAAAACAAGTGGAGGTGATTTTCTTATTGTTGGGTTTTGGGAGTTCTTTATGTTTTCGGGATACATGATCTTTATGAGATACACGATTTGTACACGTTGCCTCCTAGTCCTTGGCTCATCTTTTTCTTCTCTTCACAGTGTCTTTTGAAGAGCAAACGTTCTCACATTTGATGAACTCCAATCCATCCGTTTGTCCTCTTCTGTATCCAGCTATTGATGTTACATCTAAGAAAACTTTACCTGACCTAAGGTCATAATGATTTTCTCCTGTTCTTTTTTTTAAAAAAGGGTTTATAGTTTTAAGTTTACAAACAGTCTCTTTTGACTTAATTATTTATAAGGTGTGAGGTATTCCATTCCTTGAAGTTGTTAAGTTATTGTTGTTGTTGCTCTTCTTCTTTTTCCTCTTCCTCCTTCTCCTCCTCCTCCTCCTCTTCTTCCTCCTCCTCCTCCTCCTCTTCCTCCTCCTCCTCCCTCTTCCTCCTCCTCCTGATATCCAGTTGTCCCCACAAGTGGTTGTAAAGATAGTTGTAAAGACGGTTCTCCCTTCATCTCATTGTTTTAGCGCCTGGTCAAAGATCGAAGACCTTTCTGGTGCGGGCCGGTTACTCCGCCGATCTATGTCCCCAAATGCTGTCGTTTTATAGGAAGCCTGGAAATCAGGAAATGAGCACACCTGACTTTTTCAGCATGGAGCTTATTATTCTCCCCACGTTACATATACCAGGAAACTGACCACAGTCCTAGTTCGATGCCTCCCTCACAGCCTCCCTTATCAGTGAGCCACTCAGCTCACACTCCAAACCTGCCTCTTCTGCCTCGCCCAGCGTTCAGAGTCTGATGTGGGGTCAGCTCTCAGCTCTGCTTTTATTAGTTGTGTGGCCCAGGGAAAGGAACTGTAACACCCCCCTCCCCCACGCCCGTGCCTCAGTTTCCCCATCTGTAAAGTGAGTGTGACAGTGGTACCTGCTTTGGAGATGGCGGTGAGGATTAAGTTCAGAACACACGGAGTTGCTGATGTGGACCGTTTTTGACTGATACAGATGGCAGCTTTACCCGTTTCGACCTAATGCGCCAGATGGTTCTGCTAGTGCTAGAGAGGGCATGCACTTCGGAGAGGGTAGCTGGAGCTGTCCTTGCCGTCACCGCTGGCGTTGTCACGGTTACCATGGCTCCTGCCGCACCATTCCTGGGGAGGGCAGTGGCCCCTCAGGCTGCTGGTTAGCGTCTGTGTGTCCTCAAACCAGGCAGCCAACCCCCGCCGAGCACTCCCTGGTGACACACTCTGCAGAGGGCCCCGCCTCCGCTCCCGTGGAGTGGCAGTGCCCGCCTGGCGTCACTGCCCCGAGTTCTCAGACGGCCCGGGGCGGAGGGCTTGTTGGATGAATGGAGTCAGGGACGGGAAGAACCTTCCAGGCGCAGGTGGCAGCTGGCACAAAGGGTTGGATGCGGGAACGGACAGGCTGCGGAGAGCCTAAGGCTGGACGCTGGGTGGAGAGCGGGAGGCGGCCCGCGGCGGCCAGAATGGGTTCACAGGGAACCCCCACCTTCCCCTCCCCAGGTGGCCCGCCTGTGCCAGACCCCCTCGAGGAGCCAAGTTCCGAAGAGCCCTCCCAGCGGTTCCTCTGCCATGACCGAGAACACCATCGTCATCGACCACGGCTCTGGCTACATGAAGTCCGGCTTCTCGGGCTGGAACGAGCCGCAGCTGATCCTGCCGAGCATCGTGAACTACCGGCCGTGCCAGGAGAACCCCGGGCCCAGCTCCGCCCGGCGGCGCCTGGGTCTCGGCATCGACATCCTGAACCCGGAGACCTTCAGCTACCCCATTCAGCGGGGCCGCGTCCTCAACTGGGAGGGCGTGGAGCACATCTGGTCCTTTGTCCTGGAGAAACTGAGAATGGAGCACGAGGACACCCCCGTCCTGGTCACAGAGACCCCCCTGAAGGACCCTGTGTTCCGAAAGAAGACCCTGGAGGTAAGGCCTTCTCGGGGCTGCGCTCCCCAGGAGCGGGGGGCAGCCTGCACGTGGTGTTTGGACAGGATTGGCTACCAGGAGCTCTTCTTTCTTCCTTTAAAAAAAAAATAAATATATATATATATATATATATATATATATATATATTTAAATATTAATATATACATTGTTATATATATATTGGGGCATACATTGTTTCATATATCATATATGAAACAATGTATGCCCCAATATATATATAACAATGTATGCCAATATATATATATATATATATAACAATGTATGCCCCAATACACACACACACACACACACACACACACACACATATATATATATATATTTTATTTTTTATTTTTTTTTCTAGAGAGGAAAGGAGAGAGATAGTTGGAAACATAGATGAAAGAAACATCGATCAGCTGCCTCCTGCACACCTCCTATTGGGGATGTGCCTGCAACCAAGGTACATGCCCTTGACCGGAATTGAACCTGGGATTCTTCGGTCTGCAGGCTGACGCTCTATCCACTGAGCCAAACCATTGAGCCGCGAGCTCTTCATTCTTAATCATTTGCCCCATGAATGTTTTCTGAGATCTCACATGTGCCCGGCATTGGGCACCAGGGATTCATGGAAGCTCTTCCACAGAGAGAGACACGGCAGGAAAAATGCTCTAGAAGGGGCATGTCTGGGAGACACTGGACATTCGGTCATGGTCACAGATAAGATTCTGGCCCTCTAGGAGCTTACCTTCTGGAGGAGGATTTGACTGTGAACAAAATAGAATTTTGTTAACAAAATAGAATTCCAGAGAGTGATCAGTTCTATAAACAAATTTAAATGTGCTGAGGATGAACTGGTGAGGATCTGGAACCCCCTTTGAAGAGGATAATCGGGGAGGGCTTCTCTGAGGAGGAGGTTTCATCTAGTGAGGCCGGAGCCCAGTGAACGGGGCAGGGATGTGAGAGTGGTAAGAGGGAGACAGAAAGGTCAGGTTGGTGGGCTTGGTAAGCTGTGGGAAGAAGCACTTGAATTTTACTTTGAATCAAGGGTTGACAAACTACCTACTGCTGGTGGGCCAAATCTGGCCCAGGATCTGTTTTGATAAAGTTTTATTGGTACACATGCCCATGCCCACTCATTTACATATCATCTATGGCTGCCTTTATGACAGCAGCAGAGTTGAGTAGTTGCATCAGAGACTGTGGCTCCCGTAAAATATTTACTACTGTAGGTTTGCTAGATAAAATACACGATACCTCGTTAGATTGGGATCTCAGATAAACAGTGACGAATGCTTCAGCATTAACAATGTATGCCCCAAATATTGCGCGGGACATACTTATCCTGAATCATCCTTTGCTGTTTATCTGAGATGCACATTGAACTGGGCACCCTACATTTTTATTTGCTACACCCGGCCACCCCGCTCTCCCTTTGCAGAAGGTGCTTGCCAACCCCTGCTCTCCTTGGACAGGAAGCTCCCGAGTGTTAAGTGGGGGAGTTACATCACCACAGGAGGAGCCCCAGGGGCCCAGGGCTCCGCGTTCTGGGGGGCAGCCGCTAGTCGCTTGAGGACTTACGTCTGTGTGCTGACTTCCTGTTTGAGAGCTGGGCGTGGAAGTGGGTCAGACCCTCGTTCCGGGAAAACACCTCGTGTGCCTGTCTCCTCCCTCCTTGCAGATTATGTTTGAGCTGCTGGATGTCCCGGCCCTCCTCCTGGCTGGCCAGATGGAGATGTCCCTGTATGCCTCGGGCATCCTGACGGGCGTGGTGGTGGATTCCGGCTGCGGTCTCACCCGCGTCCAGCCTTTCCACCTAGGCCACCCCATCCGGCACACCGGCAGGACGCTGGAGTTCGCCGGCCAGGATATCTCCGACTACCTCTCCAGGAGCCTCTTCAAGGAAGACAGCACGGTGAACAAGCTGTTCCAGCTGCAGACCGTTGACGCCGTCAAGATGAAGAAATGCTACGTGCCGCAGAACCTGGCGGAGGCGCTGGACTACCGCCAGAGCCTGCCCAGCAGCCACGACGAGGACAACAGCTACCTGCTCCCGGACGGCACCTCCGTGGAGCTGACCCCCATGCAGCTCCTGGCCCCCGAGATGTTCTTCAGCCCGCAGGTGTTCGACCAGGAGCGGCCCAGCGTCTCCCAGGCGGTGCTGGACTCCATCAAAGGCTGCGACGCCGCCCTGCACCCCCAGCTCCTGCCGCACGTGATAGCCTGCGGGGGGAACACCCTCTACCCGGGCTTCAACCGGCGCCTGTTCACGGAGCTGGCCTCCCAGTATGCCTCCTGCCCCAACGCCGCCCTGTGCAGTAGCAGCAAGAGGAACTTCAGCGTCTGGCTGGGAGCGTCTATCGTGGCTCATCTGTCTACGTACAAGTCTGAGTGGATGACCAGGAAGGAGTACGATGAGAAGTAGAAGCTGTGGCCTGTTGGCTTGCCCTGGGGGTGGGGGGTGGGGGGTGGGGGGTAGGATTCTGGAGGGGGGATGAGCCAGATGGTGAATTAATTCCAGTGAAAGGGACTGGGCCGGGGTGGGGTGAGCTGGCATTGGAATTCTGAGCTCATGGGGGGATGTTTTTAAGTGAGTTCTGGGGTTTTATCTTGCTTCAAACATGGGATCCGACCCATGGGAGCACAGAGTGTCATCCCTGGGAGCACTCCAGGGGCAGCTTCTCCAGGGGCGGGCTGTTTGTTACCAGGAAGGGAGCAGCCAGTTACTTAGTGTTAGCCACTTACTGTTCGCGGGCAGCTCCCTGGGTTGTCCGTTCTCTTAGTTGAGTAGGTTTTAACGGGGGCAAGAGAGGAGTCTTTTGTAGCAGCGGGGCGGGAGGGTGAGGCTGGGGAGAGGGGAAGTTTCTAGTCCTTCACACTCTGGACAGGAGGAGTTAGTGAGTGCCCTTCCCTTCGGCCTGGGTCTTGTTTTCTAAATGCAAATAAACCACTTGTTTGGAACCAGTGACCGCTTCTGTGAAGAATGGGGGTCAGGTGGGCAGTTCGGTGGGGAGACCTGGGGAGTAGGAGTCTATGAGAACCAGGGTGGGGCCAGGGCAGCCGTCGGGGAACTCGGGCCTGAGCAGAATGGGCAAGAGCCTGGAGCCTCTTGTTCTTCCTCTGCCACGTTCGTTCTCTCCATTCATCCCAGATGTTCCAATATTATTATAATTTTTAAATACATTTGTACTGATTTCAGAGAGGAAGGGAGAGGGATAGAAACATCAGTGATGAGAGAATCATCGATTGGCTGCCTCCTGCACGCCCCACACTGGGGATCAAGCCTGCAACCAGGGCATGTGCCCTGACTGGGGATTGAACTGTGACCTCCTGGTTCATAGGTTGATACTTGACCACTGAGCCACGCCAGCCAGGTCCAGATGTTCCAATATTCATTTTAAAAATACATATTTTATTGATTTTTTTTTTTTACAGAGAAGAGAGGGAAAGTTAGAAACATCGACGAGAGAGAAACATCGATCCGCTGCTTCCTGCACACCTCCTCCTGGGTATGTGTCTGCAACCAAGAATCAAACCTGGAACCTTTCAGTCAACAGGCCGATGCTCTATCCACTGAGCCAAACAGGTTAGGGCCAGATGTTCCAGTATTCTGTTGAAGCTGAGTCCTCAGACCTGTAATAGTTGGCAAGCAGTTGAGGATCTACAATTGCACGTACTACGCTAGGCACGGGGGACTTGGAGGTGAAAGAGATGCATGAGGTTCCTGGTTTCAAGGAGATTACTGCATTTTTGAGGATGAAGAGTGAGACAAATTACATGTAACAGTCATGTGGTCTGGGGGTTGGAGGGATGCCTGCTTTCGATGGGTTAGACTAGGGGTGTCGAACTCAATCAGAGAAGGGGCCAAAATCTAAAATCCAGCCTAAATCGCGGACCGAATGGTTTACTGAACAGTCATAAACTGTCATTGTGATGGAAACGCAGCGGAGTGCAGTGATGACAGCACGGTGCGGGCCACATTGCAAGGCCTGGCGGGATGGATTTGGCCCGCGGGCCTTGTGTTTGACACATGTGGGTTAGACTGAGATGGAGACCACTGGGGACTGTTGGGGCCTTTGCCCTAGCCCCCTTCCTCGGCAAACTGTGAGGTTACACTTCCCAGGTCCCTGACAGGTAGGTAGAGCCATGGGACCATACCATAAAGTTCTGGCCAGTGTATGTATGCCTGATCCTTAAAATAGCCCTCTCGGCCTATGGGATTCAGAGGATCCAAGGGGGGAGGGGACAGTAGAGCTGCAGATGGAAGGAGCCTGCATGACTGGGTGGGACCAAGCCCCTTCCCCAACCTACGCTGCACTGGCACATGAGGAAGAGTACGACAGTATGTTCAGCCACTGAGATGTGGGGGTTGCTTGTTACAGCAGCTGTCTTGCTTACTCTGACTAATCCAGAGAAAGGAGCCATGATGCACTATTTGTTTAACAAATATTTTTTCTAGTAAGTGGTGAAAGTGGGGTTCACATCCAGTTTGGGCCTCCACTACTGTGCTGTCCGGTTGCTTCTAAAAGGGGCTCTTAGGTCCACTGTTGGGAACAGGAGAGAGTAACACGGGTGGAGGACTGAAGCCCAAGGAACCCTGATGTTTCAGGGACCGGGGGAGGAATTCGGAAGCCAGAGACTAGCTCACCTTGTCTTTGACATGGGAACTAGATTCTCTTGGCCACAGATTTGTCCCCAGACCTGAGCCAACAGTGGTTCCCATAAAATCAATAAGTATATCCTTGGGTAAGAGTTTTATTTTTAAAAAAAGGAGGCATTAGGAGGCACATGGATGTTGGGTGAGCTGACCCACCACATCTGACCTGTGGAAGAGGAGAGGTTTGAACCTAGGTTCATCCATATTTAAGTTCATATTGTTACCGACAATGCTAGAGCCCCTTCCCAGTGTCCTGGATGCTGCCTGAGAGGCAAAACCTGTGATTTTTCCTAAACTCGAATGAAAGCTGCTTTTGGGTGGCAAGCAGGTGTTGATATAGAGTAATCTTTGTGCTCCACGCCGGTTGATTTGTGTACTCCTGGTCCTTAAACAGCAGAAGTGGGGAAGCACAGAACTGGGTCTGAGGGAGCAGAGGGAGCTGGGCAAGGGGTATTTTTCCCCCCTTATTTAGCTCTGGGCAACTGTCATCAGAACTCTCTTTCTCATTTCGTTCTGAATGTAACATTTAACCTTTCAGTCCAGGCATCAAATCTGGCCTCCTGGTGTATAATTACGAACTTTCCTTCGCCTTCTCTCCCTCCTTCCCTACGCCGAAAGCTTTTTAAAACTCTCACTGGGTATCATCTCTCTCCTTCCACTCTCCAATTAAATTAAAAATAGCAGCTCCGTGGGGCTGTGCGGGGCCATCAACCCAAGGCGGAGCTTCTGGCACGCCAGGCCTGGCAGCTGCTCGGAGCTGGGGGGAGCTTTCCCTCCACGAGGGGTCCCGGGCTGCCTGCCAGGGTCAGCCAGGTGCAGGGGTGGGGGGAGGCAGGGTCTTGGCAGCTGGGGATGGAGGGCTGGGTGGGGCTGACAGAGGGGACAAACGGAAGGGCCCTTATCTAGGCCATTCCCAAGTCCTGCCAGTTTCTGTTGCTAAGGTGGGGGCTTGGCACCCTTGTCTTTGTGTTTGGGCTGGCTTTGAACGCCCAGGTGCCCTGAGATAACTCTTGTAAAAGTGCTAGGTTCTGCTGATGCAGAGAACAAAGTCAACGTTAACACTAGAAGCGTCCTGGTTCTAGAAGAGACTTTCATTGCCTTTCGCACCACTAGGTCCCCTATCCTAAGAGAGGCAGGTGGTGACAGGGACGAGGGCTGGGACTGAAGCCAGATTGGCTGGATGAGCATGCTTGCTGTGCCGCTTTCTGGCTCTGTTGCCTTGGGGAGAGGCTGCTTAACCTCCTGTGCCTCAGTTTTCCCATCTGTAAAATGGGCCTAATAAAGATGCCTACCTCATGGTGGGTTTGATGATTACCCTATGGCTTTGGTGAGCTAACATCTAAAAAATACTTAGCAAGTGCCAAATATGTATGATTCTGTCAAATAGTCGGTGCTCGCTATTATTATTTCTGTATACATCAGCCTCCGTTGAACAGATTCTGTGGCAAAAGCCTGGCTCTTCTGTTTATTTTGACCTGCTCACACGCAGATAGGTACTAGTGATTCAAAACGAATAAAATATCGCGAAGTGCCAGCTTACTGTCCAGGACGAAGCATTGCAGGGTCATTTCTTTCCTTGTCTGAGTGATGGGGCCGAACATTCTGTTTGCAGAGCTAGCTCAGGGATGGAGAGCTGACTGGCTACAGGAGAGGTGGTCAGCCGGAGGTCTTCCTTAGGAAGTGATGCCTGAATGACCCAGGCCAGAGGACCAGGACTTTGCACGTGATGTTCCTTTTCTTTGAAATGCTCGTCCTTGCCCCCAGCCCCACAGCTGCTTTTAACAACCCGGTATGGGGGTGTTAAGTAGATGGGGCATTTAGAATGTCGGGAGAGTGAGAGCAGGTGGGAGAGGGGACAGATGAAGGTGGAGGCAAGCAGGGCCAGTTCTGGAAGGACATCGAGTGCCATGCCAAGAAGTGAAGGCTGCATCCTGAAGGTGATGGGGAGGCCTCTCGGAATTGTAAGGAGAATCATGACATCACTTGAAGAATTGGAGCTCTGGGCATAGCTTGGAGAATGGCCCAGAGAGGGACCAGGCCAGAGCAATAACATAAATCATGAAAACATACATTCCATTAAGACTCCAGGCTAAATAGTCTGCATTGTCTGGGATCTGTGCCTCTCTGACGCCTTAGACTGGAGATTTGGTGTTGATGATACTGGGGGTTGTGGTGGGTTTGAGAGACAAACAGATCTCCCTTTCTGTCACCTCGCAGCTGACCGGTAACTGTCAGTTTTAGATCACCTGGCCTGGGTGGTGGCAGGAGAGGCAGCTGGGAATGCAGGACTTGGGGAGAGGGGTCGCCAAGTGAGAGAGTGAAATGACTTAGTGGCCAAGGCGAGTCATGAGCTGCCCCAGCTGGGAGTCTGTGCTCTTCCTTTCAGCACTGCCAGTCCTGGACAGCTCCCGGGCTTCTCACTTCCTTCCGCCCCATGTATGGCCACCTGTTCCAGGAAGCCCATCCTGCTGAGAAAGGAGGAGCCATGGCTGACAGGAAAGAGTTCTGGTGTCAGAATCAGACACCTGGGGGCTTGGACTCTGCTCTCCACTTTGCATGCTGTGTTGCATGAGGCAAAGAACCGCCCCTTTCTGGTTCTCTTGCCTCATCATGCCTTGGATCTTATTGGGCACCTACTCTGTGCTGAGCCCCTTTCTGGGCTCTGTTAAATTGAAGCATGTTTGTAAAGTTGCTTAGCACTGTGCCTGTCCTATAGTAGGTGCTCAATAAGGGTTAATATTCTCCCGGAGCCACTCTTTAGCAACAAGCCAGGATTAAAGACTCTGCAATCAGCCACACAGACTCACAAAGCACGGCCCCAAAGCTTTCACAGGCTGCCTGCAAAGATTCCTTTTCATCCCGCTCTTTTGATGAACTTTTCCACGGAGGTCTCAGCCCCCTTGATATGCAAGCGCTCTCGGGGGCTTTTGGTGTTTTAAGAAGGCCCTGATATCGGAGTGTGAGAGGTGGACCTGACTCTCTAATGAAGGTAGAGTTCACTGGACTTGCCCACATTCAGGCCACTTCCCCCGATGGTCCAGAGAGAGACCGATGCCGAACTCAGGAAGGATGACCTTGGGGGGAGATGCAGATTCATTAGGAGAGCGTCCTTGAGTCCTGCTGGGGGATGCAGTGCTGCCCGGGACTCAGAGGACAGACCTGAGTCCTGATGCCCAAATTCGATGAGGAGCGGACTGGACCCCAGGGAGGGAGGGAGACGGCCAGGCCGCCTCCCCTGTATTGTAGGGTCATCATCTTTGTCC